ACATTTAGCAGCATTCTATTCGTATTTATTCTCCGACGTGTCAACTGGGAATGACGGGCCTTTGAAACAACAGGCCCTATGAACTTAACCACTTTCTCTGTTTGCAAGTTGCAGCGTCAACATCCCTGAACTGTTTCCCCTTTCCATTCGCCATCATATGCATTCATTATCTTTCTTTTCTTTACTGGATCAACAACGCATATTATCAGCCTCCATGTTGTCAACATATTTGACTAATTTTACTTCAAGCGACTCATCGTCCAGAGAACCTCGATTTCCTGGCCTAGCAAGCTCACATAAGCGAGCCATCTCCGCGCCAGACTCTTCAATTGCTACTGAGTATTTTCGGGGAAAACATTCCCAGCATCCGCGCTCTCTGCTACCTCCCCCACGGGAGGTCATGGCTATCGCAGAGGACACCAGCTCACTTGCCGTGGGCCAAAGCAGCCCTCAAAACGAGGAATTGGTCGGCACTAAGTACAACGTTTTGGATAACACTGATAACAGTGAAACGGATTGCCAAGATGAGAGACCCATTGTTGCTGCCCCGAAACCGATGCGGACTCTTTCGTCTCCAGACGTTTTATCTTCAGCGCTCGCCAATGGACATCAACAACTTACCAAGCCATCCAACCCCCCCACAACTCAAGCCCAGGATCTCGATGGGAAAGCGGCTTGCATGTTTGTTGAGGACTGTGATACTGGATCGCAACTTCGCAAGGCTATATCTCACTTATTTGGTCGCAACAAAACATGCACATTGAAGATCCCGAAAATGGTGTGGGTATACTATTGCCGAAAACACTACCAGAGAGTCCGCTATCGCAATGCCAAAACATACCCCATTACTCAAATGGAGCTAGTTCAGACGCAGATCGAACGTCTGAAGGCTTGGAGCGACCGAAATCGAGCCACAGGAGAAGGTCCTTACATCAACTCATGGACTCTGTCACTCCGAAAGCGAGAAGAGAAACGGCTTCAGGGCGATAAGAGAAGGCATGAAAGAGGGACAGAGCTACCCGAAGTAGGGACGGGCCACATCCCTGCCTGGATCATCGAAGAGCTAGGTGAGGGTTACGATACTGAACGCATGTTCAAGATTGCGGGACGCCTTCGCAAAGAAATCAAGAGTGGTATCTTGACACAGGTGCCCGAGATTGAATTCTTGCCGGATATTGTGGGCGACGACAAGGACAAGGAGACGACCAAATCAGCTCGTCAACGAAGACAGAACAGTGCAACATCAGTGACAAAGACACCGAAACGAAAGGCACCCGACTTCCAAGTCATGACTCAACCGGGCCCGGTGTACCATGACATGGGCTATGCGGGCTATGTCCACGACGGCGGATACGATGCTGAAGGTGTGGTTAGTCCTTCGGGGAAACGACCGCGAACCGGTCGAGCTGCATCCTTTTTCGCCGGGCCTTCAAACCCTTACACCGCGTCTTCGTACTTGGCTGGATCCGAGGGTCCCCCGCGCGCTCAAAATGTTGTGCCCAAGATTCAGCCGATTGACTATCACAATCCCTACGCTCATAACGCCAGCAATGGGAGGTTTGAACACACACACCCAGTGCAAGGCCATGGCCGTGTAGCATCTTACAGCTGCGTTCCTCCGGAATCCGAGTATGCTCCTGAGCCATATTATCAGCATCACAAAGCGCCTGGCTATGGACGGATGCCAGTGCACTTCTCTGGTAGCCAGAGCAGTCCAAACTCTCCTCCCATGCTGCCTTCGATTACGGCGCAGATAAACAGCACTTGTATCTCACATCCGCGCCATGAAAGCCCTCTATCAGGGGCGAGGTCTCATACGCGTGCATCATCACGACCTATGCATCAGAGATCTGCTAGCGCCTATACCCCAGGAAGGCGAGCGGTCCCTATGTTGGGTCGACCGTCTAGCTCAGGCAACGGTCACACCATGGAACATGTCAGATACGAAGCGAATAGACAGGTGCCACCCCCAGCGATGTATGATGCTGGACATCATGGCCCTCAGAGTTATGCTGAAGGTGACTTGCGGCACCACCATTATGATGGAAAGCCTGTTTGGGACTCAACTTATGCACATCCAGCCCCCCCTCTTCCCAATCTTCATAATCAGTATTCATATGCCCACGGCCCAAGCTATGGCTCCCCTCTCCACGCGGGAATGCCTCCTCACAATGGTGTTCTCGGTGACGCCAAGAACGGCATGTCGGTGTATCCTGAGCCTAAGCGAACCTCAGGGCTGCGATCAGCATGAATCTCCAATTAGCTCTCAATTGGCAGCTGGTCGGCTAATTGCCTGACCTTGTACCAACACTATTAATTGTTTTATACAAGCTCGCTCTTCTGTCCTTTGCATTGTGGCGTACGGTGTCCACAAGATACGGCCTGGTCGTTGACTAGACATTCCTTTAGACTTGTGTTGCTATTAGCTTTCTTTTTATTTTCCCCCCCCCAAAGTTCGCATCCTATCTGCCCTGTACAATGGCATCGGGGGTAATGACAGTACCAATTATTCCTCTTACATCAGGAGCCGCGCGACTAGAGTTAACCAGTCAAACTCGAGTCGCAGGCCACAAAAGCAGTCAATTAGCTTGGGGGGGGTTCACGGCGAATGGAAAGACTCCGGATCACAATCTGAAGTACCGGAAGCAGGAGACATCAGTCCAAGAGGACGAGATGAGTTATGACCAACACACGGTGTGTTTTTTGAGAGGAAGTCTGCTGGTTTTTTTATTCTGGTGGCAAATATATATACATAGCCTAGATAATTATGTAACTAATACGCGAAGCGATATATCAAGATGATGCGCCATGCCTCGATGTCACTCGAAAGAACACAATTAAGAAAGCAGCTCTCTATCGTATGCAACTCGCAAAGTTATGCCCAGGGACAGACGGCACGCCTCGACATGTCCTACCCTACTCCCGAAACATGACACTCCCACCCACCCAAGCCGTACTTGGGGTAAAACGCTCCCACGCTCCTCAGCCCAACCAAGTACGAAGCACTGCCGGCCTCGTCCACCAGCTCGAGGCCCTCCTGGGCGGGCGCCCTGCCCAGCCGCTGGCCCTGGTAGACGGGGTGAACACACAGCGTGGACAGGTACCAGGCCTCTTTGCGGCGCGATCCAAGCATCTACACGTCCCCGTCCCGTCCCGTCCGTTTGTCAGTACTGCGCCAAAAAAAAAAAAAAAAAGCTTCCAGCCACGACAAAAGAGGAAAAGCACGTACGTACGCGGCGACACCCACCGGCACGCCGAGCGTCTCGTCCACCAGCAACAACGGTCAGCCGCGCGTCCACCAGCGCCTCCGAAAGAGCCGGTACACAAAGGCACGGGGCGAACATGAGGTTCAGGAGGCCGTCGTGCCCACAGCCCGCGAGGTACAGGCCCGTCACGGTGCGCAGGTGGTATCCCCCCGGAAGGGCCACGACTAACAAGCAAGCAAGCAAGCCAGCAAGCCAGCAAGCCAGCAAGCACTATCAAGAAGAACCACGGTGTATGCGAGTCACCAGCGTTGAGCCACTGCATCTCATAAGAAAAAAGAAAAGGGCCATCATGAGGGGGGGAAACTTGTCGTAATACTAGGTGGCGAACCATGCTAACCGTAGCGCTCTCCCCACACTCGAGCTCGACGTTGCTTCATCGCCCGAGTCAAATAAACGACTCGTCTACATGCGCGGAAAATCAACAAGTGATTCCGAAAAGGCAAGTCATCGGGGGCAAACGAAACCGGCCCATCCTTCAATCGAGAAGCCCACGTATTCACAAGCCTACAGTCAGACGCCAATGTTTCCGCGGTCGTGACAAGTGTACCATGCTGCGGGAGTTGTTGCGACTCGGCTCTCGGCTGCACGCTCGGCGCTCGGCTCCCAGGATTTAAGCATAACTCGTCTCTAAAACGCAGGGTGCATGCCCATGCCGGTAGACATGTCTTTACACAAAAAGCCTCCTCAAGTTGCCATGACGTGCTAGTGGGCGTAAAAACAACCATCTCTCTCGGGCTGCGGCATGACGTGTTTTTTTTTTTTTTTTTTGGGGGGGGGGTATT